GGAGAATGGGGAGAAAGAGGAAGAGGAGGAGGAAGAGGAGGAGGAGGAGAAGGAGAAGGAGGAGGAGGAGGACAAGGAGGACAAGGAGGAGAAGGAGGAGGAGGAGGAGGAGGAGGAGGAGGAAGAGGAGGAGAAAAAGCCAGAGCATGTCTTCTATGAGATACATATTGATTTATTTACCCCTAAAGAGGTATCTTTATACCTCTTTATAAAGAGGTATCTTTATATATATATTAATATCAATATTATTAACTAGCATAGCTTCTCAACACAATTATTTAATATCTATCCATTTTCTTAATTCAGTTAAATACTTAAGCTAAAATTTCAAGCTAAAATGGGAAGCAAATTAGGGACAAAGGATAGGTTGCAGAAGCTAAAATAAAGGTCTTCTGCATTGACTGCTGTTATAGTTGCAGTTTATAAAAACATTCATTCCATTCTGAGTGCTGACTAAATGCCTGGCTGTTAGAAACTTCTGTTCAACTTAGCGGCACCCCCAGCCTCCCTGATGAGACGGAAAAGTGGGTGCTGGATAAGCACTGCCGAAGATCCGTGGCTGTCAGTCTCCATCACTCAGAGACCTCAATCTTATCCAGATTAAAGAGGGAGACATCAAAATGCAAACGCTTGAGAAAATATGGACACACCCGCATAAAACAACGGAAGTCGGCCTCCCGCTTCATGGTCAGTTCCTGCCCAATTCACAAATTTCACCTCAAGAGAAAACGATGTCCTCCTGCCCAGTCAGAGGTCTAACATTCTTCTTAGGGCGATTTTATACCCCAGAAGAGCCTCTGGTCATGTTAGATTTAGAAATGAAATTCATTTGCTGTGAGATAAATCACCATGAAAGGAATTTCCAGACACACTTGCCTCCCTAGTGAGGCCTTTGAAAGGCCCTCTATTATGGATGACAAGCTGGATGGGTAATGCTAAAATAGTGCTGTGACCCAAGGATAAAAGGCACAGCGACAGTCTTCATGGGTAATGAACTCATTGCTCCAGTAATAAATCAGGACCACCACTGACTCCCCTGCCTTCCACACAGAAATTGTGCTCCCTTTTCATGAACTCAGCTAAGGTATAGTAGCCGCACAACATGAAGATGTCACTAACACTGCCAGCCATGAGGAACGGAAGTGAAAACATAGTATCGTTATTTTATGACCATTAGAACTTGTCAGGATAGGTGGATGTTAAACCATCATAAATAAACTCAGCATGATAAAAAGCTAGATCCCTTCTAGTCAAGCTATCAACTAACTTCATCCACACCCACATGAGACAGTGGAGGACAATCTGGCTGCGACATCTGTTACCCTGGTGATCTCCAGGACAGACTAGGCTGGATATGGAAGTAGCCGGTTCTTACCACATCATGTACATTTTCCCTGATGCGTTGCTCTTGACTAAAAAGAATGACTGGGCTGGGCATGTAGCTCAGCAGCACAGCATCTGCCTGGCAAGTTCAAGGCCCTGAGTTCAATTCCTGGAACCATAAATAATAACTGATTTAAATCACAGAGGACTATTCTTCATCTGTCTGAATTGGAAGCTTATTCATCAATGTATATATTTATACAGGTTTTTGAGAAGTAGTACATTTTAGATAGTAGTCACTACTTTGTACTAAATTTAGCCTGGGGAGGCTCATGGGATAACTCAGTTGTTTAAGCACCTGCTGTCCTAAACAGAAACAGGCGCAGGGGACACAGTTCCATCCCCAGCTACACATGCCTGCCAAAACCACCCTTAAGGCAGCCTGAACCAGCAAAAAAAAAAAAAAAAAAAAAAAAGAGCTTCTCAACTTTAGGGCTGGCCAAATAGCTCAGTGGATTAAAGTGCCTGTTTAGGCAGATGCAGGGGGCCAGGAGTTCCATCCAGGCCTGCTGTGCTGGCCCTGCCCCCAGGGGGCACTGAGACTGTGATTGAGACTGGGCATGGTGGCACATGCCTATAATCCCAGCACTTGGGAGGCTGTAAAACAGGAGGATCACTATGAGTCTGATCTCCGCAGTGAGACCCTGTATACCCTGTACACCCCGTCCTAAATACCAAAAAAAAAAAAAAAAATTAGCCTGTTTGACATAGGCAGGTCTTTTCCACCTAAGCAGGACTTGAGTATATTTGAATACACAGGGCTGATTTTTTTAAAAATGTAGTGAGCATTTAAACTTTTTAACATATTAAAACTTTATTTATTTAGGGGCTGGTGAGATGGCTCAGTGGTCTAAAGCACCTACTTAGAATAAGCTTAGCAAAGCACAGGGACCGCAGTTCAATCCCCCAGC